TAAATAAAGGATGGTATGTTGAACAACTTTACTTAGTAAGAAACATTAGGTTTACTTGAAAAAAAACCTGTTTCCTTATAATATGTTCAATTCGTCAAAATACCCTCACTTACTTTATAATTTGTTTTCTTTTTCTTTTTTTTTAGTCAACTATACATTATAGAGGTTTTTATTTGTTTCCTACATTCGAATATTGCACAATGGGATTGATATTTTAATTTTTTAGATTGATTGTATGATTCGTCTATTTACTGCTTATACTGTACATTGTTTATATTTTTATATGTACTTTTGTTTGCATTCTATTATACAATTTTTATCTATTTCTTATATCTATTATAGAGATAGATATTATAAATATAGATTATTACATATAATTTCTTTATTTATTTGATATATATAAAGAATGATAACTTCCCTTTTAATTTTTCAACATAATAATCTGGAAAAAAACTAATTAAGGTCCTGGCTATATGTGCAAATCGAGGTATGATTGAAAAGATGGAAAGAGAGGAATGGATGCATGAGTTGGAAAACGTAGTGTTGGATATGACACTTGAAAAGGAACAATGTGACCATGATGCAGTTGGAGGAAGACATTAAAGAGTGAACAGTAACCTATTTCCTGTTAGACTAGGAAAAAATAAATAAAAAAGATGAAATCATATATGAAGTGAAAAAAATTCTGATGTAAACTACAGAATAAAATTCAAAAACATCCTTCAATACAATAATATCAGTATTTCACAAACATCATTTTTGATGACATACAATAGGGTAATTTTTGTTGTCAAAAAAATTTATAAATAAATATAATAGCCATTAACTTTAATACTATTTATTAGTGACAATCATTGGAATGATGAACCAAATCAAAGGAGAATTATGTTTTCCTCAACTTCAAGTAACAAATACTGGCCAATGTGATTGATAGTAATAATAATGACAATAATAATAATAGAAATGAATGACTCATTCTTTGGTATATCCAGAGTCAACTACACTATTCAAGAATTTACTATTACAGCTGTTTTTATTAATTTTGGGATGTCTGGTAAAATAATTGTTTGGCCGATTCGATAAGTTTTTGATTTTGGTAATGAGCAATTACGTAATGCAGTCTCAGATATTACCAAATAAAAAAATCAGCCTATCACTAATAAAAGACTATTCTAGAATTAAAAAACATAGTATTATCTTTTTAAAAAAAAATTCATTTAATAATAAATCTTCGAATTAATTTTAATATAGATTGTCCTGTGACTATATA